TCAGAAGCATACCCCCCCTCCCCCCTTCTTATTATATATTTAATCAGGTCTTTATATATAATTTTAACTTTTTTTACCCCCTTCTAAAAAATCACCTGATTTTTGTTACTCCCTTTACTATATATTTGTTGTTTCCATTCTTTTAAAAATTGTTGCAACCCTTGCAATGCTTTGGTGGAGAATTGATTAAGAAAAGATTCATTCAATTCTTGCATTGTTTTTGAATAATAAATAATAAAAAATATAAGAGTAGATATATATATAAAACTAATAATAAAATTTCTAATCTAATTATTAAAGGATTTTTAGAATTTAGGGATTTTTAGAAAAAATGCTAGAACAAAAGGTATATTTATAAAAGTTAAGGTTATACAATTTTCATTTGTAGACTGTTACTTTGTATGATGATAATTTGGGGTACAGGTAGATCCTTAATTTTTCTTTCATAGTATAATTTTAAGTGATTATCATGAACTAGATCTTTAACTTTTTTGCCATCCAATATTCATAGTTTATAAACTCCAAGATTTAATATATCGTGGATTATATAAGAACCCATGAATTGTTCCTCTAATTTGGCAGAGAAAACATTTTTAAGAAATGATTTGGCAACTAGAACTTTGTTACCAACTTTTAATTTGTCGATTTTAATATTTTTGTCATAATATTCCTTTTGAGCTTTTTGTACTTCTTTAATATTTTCTAAAGCTTCTTCTTGTTGTTTTAATAACACATTTTCTATTTCAAAAGATCTTTTTAAAAGAGCTTCTTAGAACAATTCATTTTCATTATAATAGGTTTCTATAATTGTTTCTATTGGTAATTTTGCATCACAACCATAGATCAAAGAAAATGGTGTAAATTTAGTTGTATCATGCTTCATAGTAAGGTATGCTAATAATACTGCAAGAAAAATTTCATCTCATTCCTTGTATTTATAGCTTGTTATTTTTGCTAAAGCTTCACCAATAGTTTGGTTAAATCGTTTGATCATCCTATTGGTTTGTGATCAGTAGGCAGATTATTTATGATGTTTTATTTAAAAATTATTGCACAATTTTTTAACAATATCACTCATAAAATTTGTTTCTCGGTCAGATAGTAATATTGTGGGTGTTTCATATTAACAAATAATATTGTCATAAATAAATTTAGCAACAGTTGTAGCTTTTACATTAGTTATGGCTCTTGCTTTTGACCATTTGGTCAAATAATCCATAGTAATAATAATATAATAATTGCCTTGCTTGGTTGGAGGTAAAGGTTTTTTAATATCAATTCCAACTCTATAGAATGGGTATTTTACTTTTAGAGAAGTTAAATCTTGTTATTGAATTTCATGTCTTCTACATTGGCAAATATCATATATTTGTATATAATTTTTGATATTATTGTACATAGTAGGCCAATAATATCTTTTTTTTATTTTGTTGTAGGTGAACGATATTCCTAAATGTACTCCTTGTTCATTATGTAAAGTATATAAAATAAGGTGTTTCTGGTCTGATTTGATTACTCGTTGATGCTTGTTTTTATTTATTTTATATAGTTTGTTGTTTTCTACAAAATAATATTTTGCTTCTTTTTGGATTTAAGATTTTTCTGTATTAGAGATGTCCAAGTCAAATTGTAGAGAGAAGAGATATTAATATAGCTAATTGTATAGTCTATTATCCATTATCTTTTAAATATTCAGGTAAGCGAGATAGAAAATCAGCATTTTTGTTTCGACTACCAGCTCGATATTTAATATCAAACTGATATTCTTGAAGGGTCATCCTCTATCGAGTTATCCGTTTGTTGTCATTAATAGTATATGAATTCAATAACTATTGTAGTGCCTTGTGATTAGTAATTAGAGTAAATCTCATTCCAAAAATATAATGTCTAAAATATTTTACGGCCCAAACAGCTGCTAATCATTCAAGTTCAATAGTGCTATAGTTGGTTTTCACAGGAGTTAAAGTATAGCTAGCATAAGCAATTGCATGCTCTTGACTATTTTTAATTTGTGATAGGACTGCACTCAGTTCTTGATAAGAAGTATCAGTAAATAGAATGAAAAGTTCATTGTAATCAGGATATTGTAATATAGGGTATGTGTTAAACAATATTTCAAGTAGTTAAAAACCTCATCTTGGGGTTTTTCCTAAATAAAAGGTTCATTCTTTTTCAATAATTTTAACAAAGGTCTAGCCTTTGTAGAAAATCCTTCTATAAAACGTTTATAATAAGATGCTAAGCCTAAAAAAGCTCAAAGTTAAGTAATAGTTTTAGGAGAAAGAAGATTGTTTAATTTATTAACCTTTTGAAAATCTGGTTTGATTCCATCAACACCAACTACATGTTCAAGAAATTGCATTTTATTTGTACAGAAGTGACATTTTTCTGAGTTGATTCGAAGGTTGGCTTGTCTAATTAATTTAAACACCTCTTGTATATCTAGTATATGTTGCTCAAATGATATAGAGTATATATTAACATCATCAATATATACTATGGCCTTTTTCTATAGAACAGGCCTTAACACTACATATATAAATCTTTAAAATATAGATGGTGCATTGCACAATCCAAAAGATATAATATTAAATTCATAAAGATCATATTTAGTAATGAATGCAGTTTTTTCTTTATCCTCTTCTTTGACTTCTACTTGCCAATATCCAGAAGTCAAGTCTAGAGACGTGAACCATTGAGCATTACCAAGATTGTCTAACATGTCATCAATTCTTGGTAGAGAATAGGTGTCCTTCTTTGTTACATTATTTAATTTTCTAAAATCTACACAAAATCTAAGCTTGCCATTTTTCTTTTTGACTAAAATAACAGAAGAGCTCCAAGGACTTTTAGACTTTCGAATGATACCATCTTTTTCCATTTTAGCAATTTCTTTTTCAATATGTTTTTGTTCAACTGATGAGACTCTATAGGCTTTTTGTTTAATTAGATAAGATTTACTAGTATTGATAGTATGGTATACGATATTAGTTTTCTTTAGTTCTACAAATTCAGTTGCAAAAATGTTAGCATTGTCATGTAGTAGTTGGATTATAATTTGTTTTTGATCATTGTCCAAGATATATCCAATAAAGGTTGATTTGTTTTCGCTGATTGGTATAGATACTTTTTGATTCTCTTTTTTTTTATCTTTAATTTCAATAATTTCTGGTTGTACTAACTTAAAAATATCTAATAGAGGAGGATTTAAAGGGTTATCAGCATTTTCTATTTTTACATTTGCTATCAATTGTTCCTCAAATTGGGCAAAGGTGTTCCCAACTTGAATAGTTGTATAGGTTGGTGCAGTGGGCTTGTTATCATCTTCTAGTTT